CCCGCGCCGCTCGCGGGGGAGGGCGCGAGCGGGGCGGCCCTTAGCGCGCTTTTTTTAATTATTATTATTTTTCCCCCTTTCCCCTCCCCGTTTGTATTTTGTTTTCTTTTCTCCGGCGTTGCTGTTAACGGGGAGCGCCTCGCTGGGTCCCACAGCCCCCGCGCAGGGGCTCCCTGGCYGCAAGAGCCAGTGCTGGACTGACCGTTCCCCGCGGTTGCACCTCGCCCACAGGTTGTTTTTCACTAGTTGTTTATTTTGTTATTTGTTTCATGATGTGCCTCAGTTCACAGGACAGGAAAAGGTGGGAGGTGTTCATCCCCGAGGGGGGAAGAAAAAATAGGCTGACCACTTTCCACTTCAAATCGTGAGCATGTGTTTCCAAACCGTGTTCCTCTGTTACTGTATGCCACTTTATAGCTGAGGAATTCAAACTCGGAAAGCTGCAGGGACTTCTTCAAGGTTCCAGAAATCAGAGCTGATCCAAAGTTACTCTTCACAGCTGGATGAAATAGCCCAATCTGTGGAATATGGGCATGGGTTCACACATACATGTTCACATGCACATGCATTTACCTCGTCAACGAAACAGAATCTCTTGATGGTTCTTAAGCATTTGTTTTCAAATTACCCATCAGTGAGACACATCTGATCATCCTGACATTTCTCTCTGCTCTGCACGGATTATCTTTCCTACTTATTGTTAAAAATGCCTGCACCCGTGATGAAGAGTGCTTGCAGAGCACCCCRGTGACAGTTTACAGCGAGGAGAGAATATGGATTTTCAGATAGCCTCTTTTACATTTCCTATTTGCTCAAGAGCTTCAAGCTACTTCACAGCAATTTTAGTGTGGGAATAGTGGAGACAAACAGACCTGTTCAGATGTTCTTTCCAAAGCAATAAGCTTTTGTTAGCTTGTTTTATAGCCCACAGGTTGAATATTTTTTCMCTGTATTTCTATATATTACTTACATAGGGACATCTCAACTGCTGTGAGTCAGATGAATCTGGAGTCATCAACTTCTGCACATCTAGGCATGAATTAAACCTACGGGTGATCTGGTCTGTTATGTCCAAAGTAAAAAATTATGGGACAACACAATACATTTTAGTAGACTTGAGAAACTTTTAGGTTGAACTGTTTTCTTTATCTGTTGTAACTCATTCTAAAAGATACAAACACATCAAGTAAAAATAAAGCAGTAAGGACTTCTGAAAGATTTAAAGGTTTTGTTTTGTTTTGTTTTGTTGTTATTTTTTAATGTGTGTATGGTATATCTTTATATTGACATGTTAAACTATAGTGAAAACCTACTAGCATACACTTTGCTTTTGAAAAGGACCAGAGAATGGACAGAATGCATCAGATTTTGGAAGCACTTTGAGTAGATTGTCAAAATAAATACAAGYGTATATGTATTTTCTTAGTGTTACTGATGCTGCTTCAAATTTCCTCACAGGGTGAGATACAAGGAACAGTCACTGCTGTTTGACTTYTCTGTCATCTCTGTTGCCAGCCATCACTCTTTCCTAGGATGACAGGAGTGAAACCCTAGCTTTGCCGAGSTCAGTGATGACATTGCATTGATTGCAGTTCTCCATTTGACATGCTGTATTAGTCCTCTTTGCCTGTGAAGTGGCCAAAGTGTATTAGATTGTTTTGCAAGCAACTAAGAAATGATTACTGAAATAAAAGAGGTTTCAAGAAAAAGTAACTTAAAAAATCATCTGKTTTTTTTTGTTTGTTTGTTTGGCTAGGAAAGCTGTCTCTATCATAGGTTGTCATCGGATTTGTAGCTCAAGTTTTGCTTTTGCTGGTATACATTGTAACATAAAGTATAGTACTCAACAGGCTGCCCTTGAGCATTAGAAAAATTCCAGAAGGCATAAACATGTTGTAAATTCTCCCTCATTGGAAAAGAGGCTGATAGAGCTAAAGATTTATGCTTTTACATCAATGTTGACAGCACTCAGGATCCCTGCTAAGAATGAGGTGCAAAGCAGGTGTTGACATTTTAATCCACCGCCTTTATTATCTAGAATGAGTGAAAAGCTAGTATTTCATTACAATGAAAAGAAACAAAAAGTTCCAACAGGAAAATTCCTACAAACTTGGTATATCAGGTATATATCTTATATAAAATATAAGAGAAATAACTGTATAAGTATATATAACTGTATAAGTATATAAATAATCTGAAAAAGTGCAAGAAAAGCAGACCAAATTCAAAACAGATTATAGGAAAATAAATTTTGTCTCCTAATGAAGAAGATCTCTTTAGCACCTTGCTTAAGCATTTCCTCAGATATGATGTTTTGCTGAAGAAAAGAATACCAATGATTGAATTTTCTCAAAAATAGAATGACCTGTGAACTTCAGAAGGAGCAAAATGAGATGTCGGGCAGACAGTGACAAATTAAATGTAATCTTTTCTTGTCTGTGACAAGGTCCACAGATGCCCCTAACAAAGTATTTTGCCTTTCAATTTTTTGTAGCAATCAATGGGACAAATAGTGGGAGAAATCAAAAAAGGAGCTGCCTAGTCAATATAGACCTCCATGCTCTACAGCCAAATGGCTTAATCAGATGGAAAATATTGAGAGAAAACATTTATAATATGTCCTTTCTTTCATTTAGTTCAGTGATTGGACTGGATACATTGCATTTATATGGTTCCAGTGATAAAAATATTTGAATTATGCTGGTAAATTTTTAGTTCATAAAAATGGTTTGTAATTTAATGACCCAGCAAATTGATTTAAAATATGAATTAAATTGTAAATGTCTTTATTACTATGTAATGGATTGATAATAAAGCATATAATAAAAGTAATGTCACCAAAATGCACTTATACTTAACAATGAGCTTTTACTTAATATCTCAGCAATAATAAGTAGACTGCATGTATAAGTACAACTTCCTACATGTTTTAGTTATATTCCCATTTTCCATATCTAAGATGCTGAATAAGTGGAGCACAAACATCAAAACCTGACTATACACACACAAACATATATGTCTTTATATAGTGTCTTTTATATAATTTTCATATAGTCTTTAGATACAAAATACTTAAAACAAGGCATACAAAATTTSTTCAGAAAAGCATTTCTGTTAAATCTCTTTCTCCTGTATATTGTTATTTCTTGGAGTGAAGATGAAGCTGGAGTTAGGGTTCAAGTCCCTAAACTGCACTGCTGTGCTGATTTAGTGAAACAATTTAAAACATATATAAGTATATTGATAGTCCAGAAAATTAGAAATATTTGGCCAACTCTACCCCGGCTGATTCAACAGATTTATTTGCTGAAAAAACATTGCCCAGCTTCAATCATATTCTGTTTATAAAACACAATGTTGAGAATAAGCTGATTTTTAAGACTGACATTTGTTTTCATTTGAGAAAGAAGWTCAACTCATCAGCTGTACTACATTATTTGTGTTTGCCATAGTTCCTAAAGAAATTCATATTTTCAAGGCGGATGAGAACTGTAAATATCATTTAGAAGCTAAACCAGAAGTTCATGATTCATAACCCACCTTTGACTTATCTACTCTAAAATTACTAATATGGAAAAAGTCAAGTATTTATAGACAATAACTTGTCTTCTATCTRTATTCTTGGGAATAATGTAACATTCAGGGCATAGATGTCAATACATTAAAATCTCCGTGATGGAGGATTATCACTAATAAACTCTGAAGTTTATTGCTCCTTGCTGGCATTTAAAAAGAAGTAAACATCTGCCACTACTCTTTCACAGACATCACCATTACATCTTAAAATTTGTACTGACTTTTTCAGTCAGTACAAATTTTCTTGTACTCCTTTTCCTAGTTCTTAATTCAATTTCTTGTAAATAAGATCTAAAATAGCCCTTGAAATACAGGCAGAGAAACTTTGAAGATATAATTTCCAAAATTGCATCCATTTTTGACAAATGTGACCTCTTTTTAAATTTCAAATTAGTATTCTAAGCATACTATTTTATAAATCAAATTTGCTCAATCCACAGTAATTTTCCCTGTAAAATTGACTGATGTTAGCTTTGCCATGTTCCACCAATGTGCTCTTGTTTTATAGTTGTTGAAAGCTCGTTACTTATTTCTCTTTACTCGCTATGTGACAGTTATGCCATGGGATGCTTTCTAATACTGGATGCCGGAGTAACTTCCCCATGCACAAAATCACAACAGTGTTTCACTTAAAGCAAGCAAAAATTAACACCCAAGCTTCCTTGAAATCAGAGTATATTATAGAGGGGGCAAGTGATTGCCACCAGCAGCCACTGCTATAGCCTGCACTCCTGCGCCTAGCTGGTCCCAGGCTCCTTCTTTGAGGGACAAAATCCCACCACAGGGACTCCACAGCCAGCCATGCAAGACAGAAGAGTAGGAGGGAATTGCCACTTTTCTGACAGCATCATGTCACAAAGAAAGTGTAAATTATCTGATTTTGGTTGCTAATTTCAAGAACTGTTAGAGGGAAGTCTACATGCTGATAGTGAAGATTTTTCCAGGAAAAAAATGTGGCATTTTGCTAATGCAGAACAGGCTTTTGATAAACAAAATTTGTTGGGCTCTTCACTATTCCTACTAATTTTATATGGCAGACTGTCCTATAAAGTGCTGGGCAGGAACAGAAAGCACTAAGTTTTAATAGTCTCCGTTAGAATTACTGTATGAA